AAATGCTATATAAAAAACCTTAATAACAATTGTTTTTTTATTCTACATATAAAAGCACACAACTCATATTTCAATATCACTACTCTTACTTTTCTAATGCAATGGATTTGCCCTCTCTCTCCCCCGCCATGGCAGCCCCCGAGCAGGGGATGGGAAGGAGGGGGGGGTCTCTCCCCGGCAGCCGCAGCCCTGGACCTCGGGAAAGTTGCCTCTTTCTCTGGCCACCGCAGCCCTGCACATCTCCAAATTCCCCCACCCCCTCTTCTCACCCCACTGCCCCCTCCCACCTATCCCCTAGTCCCCTCAAGGCCAACTCTTCACCTTACATGTGCATCTTCTCCAGGGCCCAGACACCTAATTAGTGGAGCCATGCCTGTGTGTCTCCACTAATTAGGTGGGTGGCCCTTCATTCTCTCGTGTGCGGCTGCCCAGGCATGCACCTTAGAGGAAACTATCCGTGGACCACCTGCATGGAGCTCGCGGACTACTGGTGGTCCGCAGACCACAGTTTGAGAACCTCTGCACTAGAGCAACAAGAGGAACAAGAGTGCACAATGACCCAGTAGAGGATACAATATACTGAGTCTTGCTTTAATCAAGTGCAAGTACTGTGTGTGGGCAAAAGGTGTTACAAGCAGGGAAAGTGTTTTCAGTGGAAAATCCTCTGGTCGGCAGTAGAGACTACTGCATGGGTTACGTCAGGGGTCTCAAACTCCCAGCCCGTGGGCAATCTGCAGCCCAAGAGCTTCCCCAGTGTGGCCTCTGGGGCTCCAGCAGTTTTGGGGCCAGGTCTCTCCCTTGGCCCCACCTGCCGCCCCCGGGCGCTCCCCCCTTAGGGGCCAGCACAGCGGAGCTGAGCGGCATCTTCCTGCTCACTCCAGTGGCTGCTGCCCCCCCCCCTGCTGTGCCACACGCTGCCCCTGCCCTGAGTGCCCCTGTGGCCAATGGGATGCTGCAGGGACGGTGCCTGGGGGCAGAAGTGCATGGAGGCACCCTGCCGCACCTTGGAGCCCCAGGTAAGAGCCGCACTCCTGACCCTCTCCCAGAGCCTGCACCCCCACCCCCTCCTCACTTACCCTCTCCCGCCCCCAAACTCCCTCCCAGAGCCTGCACCCCTCCCCACACCCCTCCTGCCCCCAAACTCCCTCCCAGAGCCTGCATCCCAGACTCCCTCCCCCACCCAACCTCCCTCCCAGAGCCCAACCTCCAAGGGTGGCTCCAGGCACCAGCGCAGCAAGCACGTACCTGGGGTGGCAAGCCGCGGGGGGCGGCCTGCTGGTCGCTGTGAGGGTGGCAGGCAGGCGGCTTTCGGCGGCATGCCTGTGGGAGGTCTGCCAGTCCTGTGGCTTCGGCAGGCGGCAATTCGGCGGCGGGGATGCCGATGGCGCGGCAGACCTCCCGCAGGCATGCCGCCGAATCCGCGTGACCAGCGGACCGCCCACAGGCATGCCGCCAAAAGCCACCTGCCTGCCATGCTTGGGGCAGCAAAAAACATAGAGCCGCCCCTGGCAACCTCTCACCCCTTCTGCACCCAAACTCCCTCCCAGAGCCTGCACCCCAATCCCCTACCCCAGATCTCCTCCCCCACCCAAACTCTGTCCCAGAGCCTTAGGCAGGTGGTTGGGGCGGAGTTTTTAGGGAGCGGGTTCTAAGCGGCATGAGTGGCATTGGATTTGAGGGCTGGGAGGATTTGAAGACTGGCACTGGCTCTAAGGTAAACTGAGTTTGAGACCCCTGTGTTAAGTGTTAGTGTGTATGTTTCGAATTAAAAATCCCCTTTAAAAATGTTGAAAATGTTCTGAAGAAAAAGTAATCAACTGACCATTGTCTGTAAAAATTTTTCCTTATTATTTCCTTACATTTTAACTATCCCAGTTTATTCACTGCATTTTCTCTAGTGGTACAGGTCTATTAATGATAAGTATGATAGTGAAGGTAACTTTACTCTTTTGTTAATTCTTAACGATGTATAATGAATTTTAATGAAACCAGGTCATTTTTGAAGTGCAACAGTGAATTGCATACCTAAGGAATTAACATACGAGTGACAAGAACAGCCCTATCAGTGTGGATCGTTTCTCTCAAAGAGATCAGTTATGATTTAGTTGCTAGTAAAACTGGAACACTTATTTTGACATATAGGATAGAAGGTATGTATGAAACATAATGGCACATTCTAGAGAATGATACGTTAATTTCCACTACACCAGCAATTGGTGGAGCTGGAACAATGTGACATTTGGTTGAAATTGTTCAACTGTGTGTTTCCTCTTTATTAAACAATGAATCTTAGTGAGGTTCCCACATATTTCTGTTTGTTATTTCTCTGCCATTCGCTTATTTAGATTGTAGGCCCCGCAGGGAAGGAAAAGTATCTTCTCACTTGTCCATATGTATATTACCAAACACTTAAAAAAAAACAAACAAAAAAAAACAATGAAGTTAGACATCTGGGGTGAAATATGGACAGCGCTGAATTCACTGGCAAACCTCCTATTGATTTCACTGGGGCCAGGATTTCACTTTGTTTATGTGAATGAGTGTACTGTAATCAGAACACAATTTGTTAGCTTTGCTATAACTTCACACTGTTAGAAGAGGCTGTTGATAACTAGGGAGTGCACTTTATGTTTGTTCTAATATATTATCGGGATTTTAAAATCTATGTTGGTTCTCCTAATTAGATATGTCATTTGACCTAGTAATGACGTGTTGATTTGTGCTGTCCCAGGCAGTAGATTGCACAAACTTATGTTTCATCAAAATGTTCTGAAAATTAAAATATTCCATTAGAATTTATCATGATTTGGCATTTGAATGATCTATTTAAAATAATGACTGAAATGTTATGCATCTTGATAATTGGATTAATTCTCTCCCATCCCCAGTTGTAGCTCTCTATATTTACTTCTTTCATGACTCATTTTCTTTTAAGGTTCAGATGGTTACAGCAGAGAAATGGTAACATAACATCTTTGCAAACAGTTCAAATATGAAACCTGCTTGCATGATTCTAGCCAAATGTTTATAGAGCAGCAGGTGGTGTGGGTAAAGTGCCTCTAGGCAGGAGCACAGATTGACTCTTCTTTTGCATCTGCCACCTTGAACTATAAAGAAAAAAAAGTCAGAAAATAACCCAATGGTGATCCAAAATCATTTATCATTATCTCATACAATACACTTAAGATTAAGGTTTATGTACACTTGCAAAATTTGCCATCTGGTAATTTGTTTACGCTACACTACAAATCAACTTGTGCACCCCTATAATAACACTAATTTGAGATAAAAATGTTAACCTGGAAAACAAGTAGATTGTTCTTCTAAAACCATTTTTTCCAGTTGGAGTTAGTTTTTTATTTCCTAATACATTATGTGACTGAATAAATTATTCTGTGCATTTACACATAACACGTGGTTTAATCTATTTCCAAGGACTGCTCAGTTAAATAATTTGATTATAAAAACATCTCTTTTCTAATCAAAATCTGCCTAGATAATCTAATCAGTTCTAATTACTGACTCACTTGTTCAGAAGCTGACCTCTGTGCTGCCATGTAGGAGACTTGGCTTCAAAGCAATTTCAAAATGTTCACTCCCTGGGCAAAAGTAAGCAAAGTCCATGCAATCCTTCAGGTTTTGCACGGTGTCGGAATAACAGCCAGGTAGTATGGAATGAGGACAGGAGGTGAAAAATGGGTTAAAATGAAAACTTGGGTAAACAACCTAGGACCTTCTGTCATTGAAAACTGGAAGGCAGCAGTAGAGATTCTGTCAGGAAAAAATGAAGTAGTGGATTGCTGCCAGAAAGTAGCAGCAGACCTTTTGTGATGCTGGCCTCCAACATTACCAATTGGTACAGTACTTGCCATTCAGTACTTATGCCTTTTAGCACAAAAACAAATATTATTTATTGCTAAAATGTTTTTCTAAAAACCCTAATTACTGTGCATGTGATATACAAGAACTTTTGCCATAACAGGGAGATGAAGTATTATTTACCTTTGCCATTTCACAGGTAATGGGGGGGGGGGGACCCAGAAAGATCAAAGGATTTGTCCAGACTAGTACAAGGAGGGGAGGGATAGCTCAGTGGTTTGCGCATTGACCTGCTAAACCCAGGGTTGTGAGTTCACTCTTTGAAGGGGCCACTTAGGGATCTGGGGCAAAAAAATCAGTACTTGGTCCTGCTAGTGAAGGCAGGGGGCTGGACTCAATGACCTTTCAGGGTCCCTTCCAGTTCTATGGGATAGATATATCTCCATATATTATTATTATTAAATCTGTCAAACTGCGAATTGAACCCTGCTCTCCTGATTCCCAGAGCAGTGGGTCAAATAAAAGTTGATGCTCCAATAAACAAAAACATAACCCTACCAGCCCAACACCTAAATGCAAACTTACATTAGTACATTGTTTGTGTTTTCAAGGAAGGAAGAAATGTATTCAGAGGACATTGTGGTTGTATACACAAATCATTAAGCAATAGTTGTAAAAATACATTTAATGAAATTGTGGAGAGGACCCATTCATTGTACACAGAACTGAACATTAGATTACTTGAATAAAAACAGAGCCAGTTATGTTATGATACTAACAGAGATTTAAGTATTCAATGAATATGTGACATTCAGGACAACAATAGCATGTGAAAAGCTTCATAAAATCCAGTAAAAGTATAATAGTCAACAATTACTGTGCCTAAAGGTCACCTCCTTTTTTTGCTTTAGGCTATTGACATATTTGAAAACTCATCTGTTGAGATGTTTATTGCCAAGAATATAGTTTTAAAACAATTGTATGTCGTCTGGTCCTTTGAAATATGTCGAATTTCATAGAAACTAGATATTTCAGTAAGTGTAGTTCCTCCTGGAATGTAACAGAGAACTAATGTATTTATTCAGTCAGAAGGATGAAAAGCCATAAAGGGGGATATTTCAAAAACTATAGCAAACCCCCAAGAATGCTGTTCATTTTCCTACATGTGTTTTATATTTCAGAACAAGATTATTTTAGACCCTATGACTTTCAGTGAGGCCAGATTCAGACCATCTCTCGAAGAGAGGTTGGAGAGTATTATCAGTGGAGCAGCACTGATGGCCGACTCTTCATGCACACGTGATGACCGCCGAGAGAGAATTGTTGCTGAGTGCAACGCTGTACGACAGGCCCTCCAGGACCTACTTAGCGAGTATATGAATAATGTAAGTGATCTGCTCTTCTTAGTCTTTTCCTCCTCTATGGATTGTTAAGCAGTTCTATGACTATTCTGCAGTGCCTACATGCTTAGTAAAACTGATGATCCTAAATAGCAGCAGTTCAAGAAAATCAAGGCAGTCCCTTAAAATCCTTTGGTGGTATTCAACATTTTGGGGTTTGAGATCGTTTTATAGCGGTTTGTTACAAATAATTATACATTTTGCTCTGAAAAGGAATGCCCCCGATTGTAAGATTCCCTCACTCTACTGCAGAATAAGAGACTACTGTGTTCTGCATCAGTGATTCGTTTCATTTTAACAAAAAGGTAGTCCACGCAACTTGTAAATATTTCCAGTGAGCCCAAACACTTTTGTGAAACTTGTGTAAAACTGCTGGTTGGTAAGCAAAGAGGGAACATGAATAAGTCAAATTAATGTATCCTAGATACTATTTTTGTAAAAGAAAATGAGTACAGTCAGTTTCTAGCATTATTCATTGTTGTAGGGAAATAGTCACTTAGTGTTTTATTCAGATGTTTGCACAGAAGTTCACATGAAGTAGCTCTAAGTTTGCATGTGGGAGGATGTAGTTAAACCACGAAGATTCTTATTTGCTAACAGTGTAATTGGAGCTATTAACTGGAAGTGTGCAGATTCTCTGAATCTGTTCAGTATTATCTATCATTATTACAGTGCACATAATGAAATGTTTTTAAAATATCTTAAATACATCAGTCACCACAGTGTAGACATACAGTACCATTTGCTTTATGTGTATGATCTCCTAAATGATAAACATCCTCTGCTTTACGGTGCCTATATCTATATCTCCAAAATTATTTGTGGATATTCTGCACTATTGTTACTAGACCCATCCATCATCGCGATGCTGTGATATATGCAGTGAGGTCATATCCAGTCAATAACCATTTTTGATATTACAACTTAATTCCTGGAAATATTGTCAGAACCAGTTGTTCTCTCAAAATATGGTGGTAGTCACGTCAAGCAGGTAGTGGTGATGCCCATGTCTTTCCATGGGCTCCTAGACATCTGTGTTTAAGGATATTACAGGGTTTCAAACTCATTTCTCCTTTTTTGCACATAGAATATGTGATTGGAAATATTTCCAAATGAGGATTTCCACATTTAGGGTATCCAAATATGTTTACCAGTGTGAGTGTTCTACTCCATGCTTCGTTTTTCATCTGCTGGTAATATTAGAGTTTAAGTAAACACACTGATCTATTTTGATCCTGTTTTTTCCAACTCTCCAATTCCCATAAATGTTGAAAACTAACATTCAAGGATTGAGTGTTTTTTACTATTATTTCTAATTGCAAGATTGATAATATGCAATATCAAACCAGTGAAAGTATTCAATCTTCTAGTTGCTATATTGTATACCTGAGACAACTAGAATTTATTTCTTAAATTGTTTATATTTTCTTTTTACTGTTCAGTAAAATGGTGTTGGCTTCAAGGAAAAGCTATTTCCCCAGTCTAGAATTACAAAACAGAAATTGTTTGCTGTTTTTAAGGTGACAGTTGATACGTTCTTTCGGTGCAAATGACAGCAAAGCTGATGTTTTTTTATCTTGAGGTGAAAGCCGTAAAGAGAATGGATTAAAGAACAGGTGATGATGATGTGAAATATAGCTTTTTGGATTGCTGTCTGTAGAATCTTGTCTCACAGAATTATTACTTTTAGGGGTAAGCTCTAAAAGGTCTCTACAAAGATCGTTCCAAAACTGATGGATTGTTGTATCCTGGTTCTTGGTAGTGCCTGTTTTTATGTACCATGCTTTGTGATAGCAAAATGAATTTGCCCTTGCTTCAGAAACATTACTTATTTTATTTTCTGACACCACTTTCAGATAAGGCAAAAGAATCTTTTTAGTTTAAATGACAGCATACATTTATGACCGTGCAGAGGATGGGTTAATGTAGTTTCAGGGTTTCTCTTAGAATGCATAGTGGAGCAGTGTTCTGTTTTACACTTTATACATATGGTGTTTAAGTAACTGAGTTGATGGGTATTTGACCATCTTTATATTTCTATTATTCTAATAAGTCTAATTAGATCTAAGATCCATAATTCCCAATTCTTTTTCTCTTCATGTTTCATATGGAATATAACCAAATCAGTTTAACAGTTCATGTATAAGTATCTTCTTCTTAATAAATTAATGTTTAGTTTGAGGTATAGTATTTCAAATTTTAAAAATAAATATTTCATGTAATAACTCTCTAGTTTTTGTTTTTGTTTTTTTTAACATTTGTGTCTCCCAGCATGGCTTCTATTTTTGTTTTTAACCCTTGTCTTGATAAGAGGACATGAGATTTTCAGTAATGAGAAGCAAGGGCTTTACAACTGCCAAAGATTTCACTTGCAAAATTCCCAAAAGCTTGGTAGATTTGTTGCAAGGTAAAACTAAATCGGATTGCGATAAGGCATGACTTGGAACAACTGACAGCCTGATCAAGAGATGGCCAGACTGTAAGAGTGTATTGTTCCCGGTTAGTATCGAGATACATTTGCAGAGCTGTCCGAAGGAAACTTGTATAACATCTGCCCAGAATGCCTTTAACCAGTGCTATCTGTCCCTCATTTTGAATTTACTCATACATTGTTTTGATTAAAGAAAAAGAGGTAATGGAAAAAACTGAAAATTTGTGGCTAATAATGGGTCCTAAAATGTGCACACTCCTTTGATACTTTTAATTAAGAATACAGTTATTTTATGACCGTAATGTATGCCAATATTTCAGTGAGACTGTACATTGCAATTGCAATACTATTATTATTTTCTTGCCTATTCAAATGTTAATAGCTCTCCTCAACCTAAAATCACCTTCCCCTCCACTTATCCTCTTCAGTGATCTAGGGCAAGGGAGACTCACTCTTCATCTACAAGTTGTTTTTTGTTTCATGTTGTTTAAAGAAGAGTCCTGGTTCTCAACTCCCTTGCACTAAGTTAATCATTTACAGCTGTGCATAGTGAGTACAAAGTGGGTATAAATTGTAATGTTTTACATCTCATTTTACAATCAGTTTGCTCAGGTATGAATGACTCGGTGCAAAACAGTAGAATTGGAATGGATGCATTCAGTCTTAGGACAAATCAGCCTGTTACCTTTCACTAGTGTGACAATAGGTGATGTTACCCCAGCTTTAGGTCAAACAGGTAAAGGATAGAAAATTGTGGTGTAGGAAGGAGAATTCTTCTGCTCATTTTGTAGATCCCCGATGTGCTAGTGAGTTACTAACAATGTCCTTCTAGCTAATTATATGCTTGAAATGGAGTTATTGTATATAGCATACGCTGCCACCTATACAATGTTTCAAGCAAATTGCCACTGGATATCTGATCAGTAGGTGAGGGAGAGGCAAGGTAGGACAGGGTCTGAGGAGCCTTTAAAAAGCTTTTGTTCTCTCTCACACTGTTCTCAGCCATTAGTTTTTGTACTCCGGCAGAAGGAAGGTTTGCAAGGGGAAAAGGGGGAAGAGTAAGTTTTGGTTTCAGAAAAAAACGATTTTCAATATTATGAAGATTTCAGGCAAAGTGACACAATTTTGTGCTCAGAAGTGATGAAAAGACAACTTGACAATTTCACTTTTTAAAATGTACCGAATTAGATTTGGTTCAGTTTTATTCCCTCGTCAAATATTCTGGCTCCATTGCAAATATTTGTTGGAATGATTAATACTGTGTGAGGTTTTGCAGTATTAGCCCACGGGAGCTCTATCAATGTTAATAATTGTATATTGGTATTGTGATAGTGCACAAAAAGCCCCAGTCAGGACTGGGGTTCCATTGTGCCAGATGTACAAAATACATAGGAAGCACCTCTAAGAAGACAAGATAGACAAAGTCATAAACCTCATATAGCTAAAATGTCAAAGGTACATATCTTGTCAGTTACATTTTTTTTTAAAGATTTCCCCTCAACAATCCCTCTTTCTTTTTTTTTTTCTTTCTTTCTTAGCTCTCCCAAAGGACAACTCTGATGATTTTATTGCGAGTCTCAGGGTATTTGGTGATTTATTATTTTTTTAATAAAGCCCTAGCTCCTGTAGTTTTGTGATACTTTTGTTTTTAAATGAAAGAGATTTGTTTCTAGTCCTCATGGCTTCAGAGAAGAGCTTGAAAGGAGAACTGATCAGAAATTTTCCCTGTCTGGTTTCATGCCAGTTCGCTTACCTAGCTCCTTGGCAGACTCCCAACTCTTCAGCCTGGTGGGATGATGGGGAAGCTGAGAGCCCCAGAAATCATAAAAGTGCCAGATCCTATGCTTCTGGCTCTGCCAGTGCTCCCAGGCTTCCTGGCTCCACTTCAGGCCACCTGGCAAGCTGAAAGGGAATCAGGATGCTGCAATCCCCAGATAACCTGGGAGTCTTGGAGCTTTGGGATCTGGGGCTTCCAGGCTCCTGGCTCCCCTTCATTTTACAGGCAGAATTTCATTTTTAAATCCTCTAATTGTTCCAAGTTTTGAAAAAAACATATCATTGATTCTGTAACTTGGAGAATTTTGAAATTTTTGGTTTTCATTCCAAATTGGAACAAAACCAGATTTTGAAATTCCGTATCCTTCTTGAAAATGTGAATCCCAAAGACCCAAACACCAGAAGGCAAATAAAAAAGAACTCAAAAAGTAAAACTTCTTATACACTCATTTTTAAATCGGTCTCATGATTTTGGGGTTTTTTTTTTTAATCTTGGGATTGGTAATACTGAAGTCCTTCCACCTCTGGCCCCTACATGAATACTCAGACAGTATAACTACGTTTACCGTATAAGAGAGGGGTGTGATTTTTCCCTGCTCTGTACACATACGCCAGCTCTCACGAAGCTAGCTGAAGTATAAATAGCAGTGTAGCATTTCCAGTAGCATGGCTTTGTCATGCCGAGTTTGTACCCACCATTGCCGACGGATTTATGCTAGGCTGTGCCTCCACTGTCAGTACCCGTGCTACCATGGCGACACTACCATTTGTACTCTCACTAGCTTGATGATTTGTGCTAATAGGTGATCCCCCTGCTTGAGTAATCACGCCCATAGCTTGTAGTATAGGCTTAGCCTATATGAGAAAGGGAAATACCTTTTAATATCCCCACCACTTCTAAAAAGCCACAATTAACTCCTCCCCAACAATAATCAGCCTGTTAGATCAGTGCTCGTATTACT